TTAAAGTAGGGAAACCCCTTTAATATAAAAACAGATCACAGGCCCATAAACTCTATACATGTTGATTGAGCAAATACCTGATAAAAACATTACTGTGAATTCAAGTAACATGCTCTTTCAGCAGCATCTATACACAGCTAAGTCATTCCCTTTATCCAATGTGAAGATAACGCTTGGCTTCCCTGTGGATTTGCAGTCCCCTGAAGTCAACCTGAGCCTTGCTTTCCACCCCTGTCAAAGTCTGAGTTCTGGCTGTGACCCACTGTTCCCGCCACATCGAGCTGCCTGTACTGCCTCAACATGCCACCATTCTTCCAATTTCACGCCCTACCCACTGTTCCATCTACCCAAGTGCTTTTCTGCTTCTCTACCTAGAGCATGGGATCATGAATGCTAAGAAATTCATCTTAACCCGCTGGCCTGAGCTTTCCCTAGAACTGGTCGATTAGGAATCTGAAAGTTGGCGCACCAGCCAATGAGGTACACTGCTTGATGACGTAACAACAATGAGCAGGTATGATTTTTCTTTTAAAAAAAGGGTTAGAATCAGAAAAAGTCAGGTGGGGACACAAAGAGAGGGAGCTCTTTGACAGAGGTAGGGTGGCTGGATGGGATGTTTGTGGAAGGCACAGCCAGACCTCAGGAGCATCGGCAATGCCAGCGGGCATCCAGGAGAACATATCAGCCAGGCAGGACCACCAGACTCTGATCGAGCCAGAAGAGAAAGACCCAACTTACACCCTGGGCTCTGGGTTATGCCCTGGGCTCAACAACAGATGCAACAGAACACCCCAGTTTCACCTCTGGGGTCACTAGAGAACTGGCTGCCCATCAACTAGGCAACATCAGTGCGGATGGGGACGGGCCCACTGCCAGGAGAGACTGCTCTGCCAGGGTCCAGAGGCCCATGCCACTCACCACATACCCACAGGCTCTCTGAAGAGAAGGGAGGGGGCCTAGAGAGACAGAGCCTTTTAAACGGCTAACTAAAGGATGATTTTACCAGATTAGATGAAAATTATGCAGCTTCTTTTCTCTCTTTCTGGCTATCCAGCAGGATATCATGGAGAGACTGCTTAGAGGAAAAATATGAAGCCACATTTTTCTTTACATGTCTGAGTGTGGCGTGAATTTAAGTTTGGCAATCCTCTACAACTTTTTAAAAAACAGCATGAATGTTAACAGTCCTTTAATGGGTAGAATATAGTTTTATGTATTCAAGGTCCATAGACTCGGCTATTCAGAGCGCCCCCAGGCCCACCCCTGGCAAGCTGGGAGCTGCTGCAACGGTGGCTGAATTGAAATAGCGAAGCTTCCTCACAGCTTACATTCTCAACCAAGTCAGTGTTAGAGAGGAGCAGGCATCCCACTAGTCCTGAAGGGATTACTAAGCTGCCTTTCCCTACACTGTTACTTCAACATCCCTACTCACCCCACCCCCACCTCCATAAAAAAAGAGGTGGAGGAAAGTATATTCTGGATGACGAGCTTTGGCTTTCCATTTGAATGAGATGCCATGACTCTTATTTTTTTCCCCCAAGAGATAATACCCTTGACAATCGATTTACTCACTGCTTTGCAACTATTCAGTTTGGCTATAAAAGTTATTTTGTATAGAATAGGAATTTTTTCCCCTTAAATTAGCCTAGAAACCTGCAGCAGCTCTAGTTCCCTTCCTGCTTTAAACATTTTTTTTTAAATGGAAAAAAAAATCCACTTTTCTTTTTAAAAATGCATTTGTACAGAATAGATTGTGTTTACATAGAGACATTAAGTGGTTTCCTCATATTTTTAAAGACATGTAGAGAGATGAGAGCAAATTTGAGGGACCAAATGGAGAGCCACATAGGCAGGCCTTAATAGCCTTCACGTATGAAAAAGGTTAATAAAAAGGCCACAAGACTGGGTTTTCAGCTCATGAGTGGTCAACCTAAGTTAATGAATCAAGCAGACCTTAGAGGGCATTTCAGTAGAATGGCTAAAAAGTAATGGGTAACATAGCAGGATGGACAGGGCTGAGAATTACCAAAGAATGGAAATTTTTTTTGATACAAACAGCAAGAACAGTAAATTATTGAAAGAAAGACCGACATGGACTAGAGCCATCATGGAAGCTTTGCGCTCAAGGTAGGACTTGGGCTCCCCCTTGAGGGGCGGGTAGAATTTGACTAGACAGAAAAGAGGCAGAGGAAAGGGCAGAGCAACACATGGGTGTGAGAGAATAAATAAATGTGGGGTTGGGACAGAAGGAATGGTAATCACACGATTAGAGCAGAAGTTATGACAGGATCACAGGCCAACTGTGACAACTGAACCCAGGAGGGGTTGTGACAATTGAAAGAGGACAATGTCCCTCGGCATCTTTTTTTCTGACTATAGTTTACTCCAAGTCTGCATAACCTAAACCATGGCTTTCCAAAATTTGGCTCAGAGGTTTGCTTATGACTCTAGTATAGAAATTATATATAGTTTCTCTCTCTCTCTAGAAGACCTGCAATGGTTCATTGATTTTATATTTTTGTATTTAGTACTTATAATATGGGACAAAAGATCCACAGCTCCCCAATGACAATTTTCCCAGAAGAATTACCACTCCAAAATGCATGTGTTCACACTGACAGAAAAAAATGTGCTGATAAACAAGGCATGCTACAGTGATTCTCAAATCCAGAGGCATGACATTTGTGTTCAATTTTCAGTGTGACAAAAGACTATAAATAATCTGGAATGAATCTTAAGACCCAAATTTAAAAAATATTTTCATTTTTAGAACTTAGAGTAGATTCAGGGTTTCCTATATACAATACAAGGTCATCTCACTCATTGGCATTTCAATTGGCTTTCTAAGTGGGGGAGGAGGGGGTGGAGCTAAAGCATGAGGGCTGCTTGCTTGATTTCAGTTGCCCTTACATCCTCATCAGTCTGGGTATGCCCAGGGGACTGCACACACTTCCATCTTGCATTCAGGACAGGAAATGGTTAAGAGCTGCTAGAGAATGCTAGAGTCAGAGCAAGTCACAGCCACCTCTAGCTTAAAAAGCCTACCACTCCTTCTTAGAAAGCTTGTTCACGTTGATTGAAATGTTCCTTGACTTTTCTCAGGACACTTCTGACCTATATGTATCAAAAGCATATTACCCTAGGGCCGGCCGAGTGGCGCGATGGTTAAGAACTCGCTTGGGATGCCAGAGGGCCCCGGTTCGGATCCCACATATGAGGGCCAGTGACACTGCCCTCCACAGCTAAGATGCTGAACAACAGTTCAACCTGGAACTGGGCTGCCGTGAGTCGCTGGCGACGGCGTAGGCTGCAGTCCCTGTGGCAGTGGGTTGCCATGGGCTACCGTATGTAGCCAGCAGCCAGCGTGAGCGGCCAGCAGCCGCAGTGAGCGGCCGTCCAGAAGCCGGTGACTGATCTGCCTCGCCCGGGAAGAGCGCAATGATGGTGCCAACTTGGGCCAGTGAAGCAGCGTCCTCCACAACTAGATTGAAGAACAAAACGACAGCAACTTGTCTGTTCCCCTTCCCCCAATTCCCCAGCACTGTTCCCATCTCCCCAATTACCCAATAAAAATCTTAAACAAACAAAAAAAAAGCATATTACCCTAAAGAACATTTTCCATACTTAGTCAATTGAGTGGTGAGTTTTATTTGAATTTTGCTTTACCATTGTAAGGTCCTCTGCAGTGGTGGTGAATTCATAACCATTTCAGAGTACAGAGTGCTAACCATTACACCATGGGACCCACTTTTTCAGAGTCACTCCAACGTTTTTATAGCTTCTGTTTATAACATCTCAGAAAGGAAAGCTAGAATGACCCCATAACTCCTAGGAACCTCGGAGCAGGTGGTAAAAGCATGGGCATTAGAACCAGACAGACATGCATTCAAACCCTAAACACTCCAATCACCCCTGTGTTACCTGATTTCTGTGCCTCAGTTTCCTTATTACAAATTAGGGATAATAGTAGCAACTGTCTTATAGAATTCATCTGAAGGTGACATAATGAATATAAAGCATTTAGTATAGTTCCTGACACAAAACATGCTCTCTACAATCAACCTTTCTATTAGCACGGTGTCTCGTTAGTATTCTAACACTTATTTTTCTAAAAGCCTGTATTAACTGTTCAGTATTAATCATCATTTTTTTAATAAGAGTAACTCATCTTTGTTATGGTTGTAGGTGTTTCTCCCTGAACCTACTTTCCTACCCATGAGATAAGGAAAATGTCACTTGCCCTGTTAATCTCACAGAACTGAATGGGTCAACAGTATGGGAATGTAATCAGAAAACTGAATATGTAAATGTTATTAACTAAATATGTAAAAGCTATTAACTGAATATGGAGAAGTTATTAACTGAATATGCAAAAGTTATTAACTGAGATTTTTAATCTGCAATTCACCATACTGAAGTAAGCTTGTCATAATGCTATGGATAAACAAAGGCATGTGGGAACTGCCATATCATGACAAGTCCTGCTCCCAAACCTTCTCTAATGAGTTCATTTTAATTCATTTTAATCATATAGTGATTCAGTATCTTCATGTGATAACGACTCACGTGTTTTAATTTGCCAAATGTTGCTTCTAGATTATTTTCAGAAGCGTCTGTTGAGCTCTTTCTTAAGAAAGCCACTATTTGGATAGTAGATAAAATCTGAGTTATCAATTTAATCCCAACTTAAACCAAATCATATTTATTCCTAATTTAGATCATCTACGCATCTTGCAATGATTAAATTAGACGGGGTATGGTGCAGCTAGCAAGGCATGGACTTCTGGGATTTGAACACCCACTGATTCGGTCATTTATTAGCTGATTTAATTTTAAGCAATTTATTGTACCTTTCTGAACTTGTATCTGAGAAATGGGGATAGAATGAGTGCCTTTCAAAGGAGATGGTAATCTTAAAGGGCATAGCATAGTCCCTAGAGGCAGTACGTGTTCCCTAAGTGAGAACAGTTTAACAAGGGAACAAAAGAGCATCTCCTTACAGTTCGCAGACGCCAGCTCTAGCGGGAATGAGAGGCACGAGTTGCAGGAGAAGTTTGACGCCGTTTTGCCACTCTTCTTCTCTTTCGAATTCACAGTACAAGTAGCTACATTCGTCAGATGAGAACTGATAGAAAACGTAGGTATCTTGAAAGTATAAATGCTGGTCCACTGTTGGAAACGAAAGAGGTGGAAATCAGTTTTTTAAAGTATATGATTTAGAGAGTCATAAACCAAATACTAAATTGAAAACCCTACTAATTATTAGGGAGAAGCCAGGGGTGGGACTATACGTATACATTCTAAATCCATCCATGTTCACAATCCTATTGAATGAAAAAGAATTTACTGACCAATCGATTTTTATTACTTGAAGCTTTGGCTAGCATAGTCACATGTTGTTTTATCATTTTTGTGCTTTAGGGACAAGGTAAAATATACAGTAATTCAAAGAGAATGGGGAGAAACTTTTGTTAGTGTCCCAACGCAAATGAATACATTTAATTACTTTAGTGGTACTCAAATACAAAACGATGGCAACTTTTAGATCAGTAGTTCTCAACCAGGACGACTGTACCCACCAGGGAACATTTGGCAATGTCTGGAGATACGTTTGGTTGTTACAGCTAGGGGGTGCTACCGGCATCTGGTGGGTAGAAGAAAGAGATGTTGCTACACATCCTATTATGTGCAGGACAACTGCCTAAAACTAAGAATTATGTAGCCTCAAATGTCAACACAACCAAGGTTGGGAAGCCTCATTGTAAAGGAATCAAGAATTGGGAGACTTCTCCGAAAAACATCAGCACAAAATGTTTTAACCTCACAAGCAAGCTGATAACATTCCTCAAAGGTAGATAGATAGCTGATTTTCTAAATAAGAATATCAGATGGTAGGTATTATTAACTCACTAAGATGACACCCACATGTCCATCTGTACCATTCTTTCACAGTTGGACTTAAGATATGCCTTTCTGAACTTTACAATGTTCTCTGGCCCTCAATATTTATTACGTATAGGAAAAAAAGGGCTTCGTAGTGACCAACCAGCGCCTGTGTCATGGAGCTTTGACCGCTAATTCTTCAATACCCTGACTCAGAAAAGAGCTATCAACCAACTATCAACTAAGCTATCCACCAACTATCAACTATCCACCAATTATCAACTATCAACTAAGAGCTATCAACTAAGAAAACAGCTATTTGGTTTCTAGTTAACATCAATTTTCTGTTGTTTAAACAGCTAATTTTCATAGGTCGTATCTCTAACTGTTCACAATTACTTAGTCAATCAAAATGGCATACACATTCCACTCATAAAATCAGTTTCTGATTATTATTCTAAGTAAAATAAGATAAATCACACATTTAGGGCAACTAAACATGTCACTAATTAAAAAAAAATTGTGAGCGTCATTTTGAGTAGAGAAGGGAGGAGGTAAGGGAAAGGCTCTTACAGGTGGACATCTATGAATCAGCAGCTACCTAATTATTTTTACAAAAGTGTGAGAGAAATAACAATCAAATGATGACCTGTCACTTTTATTTATAAAATAAGAGAGAATGCAAATATTTACCTGCAAAACCAATTTCCATCCAGATTGTAATATCCTCTAGAAAATCAAGTATATTTTGGTCTGGTAGCTTAATAAAGTAATGATTCTCTGCCTTCAAATTATGTTGTACTAACCTGATGACATAATTCTCATATCCAGGAGGATCTGCCAGACCCCTATGGCCATAGATCTGCACTGGACAAAAGGACAGTGTTCCAGGAGCCAGTCTACAAGTTCTGACCCAACACAGCTTCTCCTGGACAAAAACAAAGCCATTCACGTAAGACATTGTTGCTGCTCATTTGCCAAAAATTGATATTTAATACCATCCCTTTCATGGGCTTGCTTTTTAAAACAAGTGACTCAGGAATAAATGACATGCACCGCTTCTTCATATTTCAGCTCAAATACCCCTTTCTTCGAGAAACTTAGAGTCATATCCTCTGGTGCTTTTTCTTCAAATCACCTAGCATTTAGTAATTGTACATCACCTTGTTAGTAATTATGCATCTTTCTGAATGAATAATATCTGCTTTCCTCACTTAAGAATAATTTTCAGAGACAGCAACTTGTCTGTTCCCCTTCCCCCAATTCCCCAGCGCTGTTCCCATCCCCCAATTCCCCAATAAAAATCTTAAAAAAAAGAAAGAATAATTTTCAGGAAAACAAGGACTATTATAACTCACTATTTAACTCCCACAACTAGGACAGTCCAGGTACACAGTAACTTCTCAGAATACATAAGTTTGAATAAATGAAGGAATACATTTAGCAGTCCTTTATATAAAGAGAATGCTTCTGTCTTGGTGAGATAAGGCCCTCAAGTTGGAGGTGATAAACTTTGATTCATCCATTTGTAGATTTTTATCTAATCTCTTTGAGAGCAAAATAATGCCAAGAAGGTTAGACAAAGTTGGGACCACAGTGAGAAGTGTAGAGTTTTGTTTGCTACTCTTCAGAGATTAAGTCCTAGAAGTTGTCTCAAAGAACAATAAATTTGACTGTTAATCTTTTAAATATAATCTAAGCAATCTAGTTAAGCAACATAGGTCATAAAACCCATAAACCCAGAGTATGATGGACCCCACTAATCACATACACACAAAATATTCTCTGTAATCTGTCCTAAAATACAGAACTGTATTCAATGAATGCCCCGATCTGGGCATTACAAGCCATATCTTCACACCTATGTTGCCACCTTTATTAGCCTCTGATGAAAAACTAAAACAGGAAAAATTTCTGAAATAAGGTTTTTCATTTCCAGAAATTTCATTGAATCCCACTCTCCTTTATGAGAAACTGTCACCAAAATGTTTTTTTATAAAGAAGTATCATGTAAATGGCTATATTTGTTCTACTGTTGGTATTTAAGGACCAAAAGATGTCAACTTTATTTGTAGTCCTAAAACAGAAAAATATTGCTTATCTCTTGTGATTCGCATAGGCTCAAATACCTAGAAATAACACAATAACCTACATTTTCTAGAGTAAATATAAGATAGAAAGCTTTTGTGCTGAGATATTTGATCAAATGGTCTAGCTTCTGATAAGCCATCACTTTTTTTGGGTACAGTGTTACTGTTTGTAAGATACTCTAAGGCAGCGGTTCTCAACCTGTGGGTCGCGACCCCTTTGGGGGTCGAACAACCCTTTCACAGGGGTCGCCTAAGACCATCGGAAAACATATTTTCCGTCTCCAGGCGGGTCCGCCCACATGCTGATACGCCCACATAGGAGTACCCAGCGTGATGACATCATCGCGCCAACCCCATCACATACACCCTGTACAAATACAGGTGTATGTGACGGGGTTGGCGCCATAATGTACTTATGCGGACCAGTCACACATGTGTAGAGAGCAGCTACTGTGTAGAAAGCAGCTGTCGTGTTGAAAGCAGCAGTATTGGAGGTAAAACAACACTTCATGAATTATAAATATTTCACAATATATGATTATATATTGTTTTTGTGATTAATCACTATGCTTTAATTATTTTCAATTTGTAACAATGAAAATACATTCTGCATATCAGATATTTACATTACAATTCATAACAGTAGCAAAATTACAGTTATAGAGTAGCAACGAAAATAATTTTATGGTTGGGGGTCACCACAACATGAGAAACTGTATTAAGGGGTCACGGCATTAGGAAGGTTGAGACCCACTGCTCTAAGGCAATTAAGGCAATACTAGAGATGTTTAATTATAGGTTAGAATTAAGACATTAGAAAGATTAACAGTCAAATGGATGTTTTTTGAAACAAAATGAGAAAACAGATCGCAACAAAACAGGCAATTAGACCAATATTAACCTCTAATTCTATAGGACACCTTTTATATTAAAAGGCTCAAGGTGTTAATGAATTCCTCAACATTTGTCATTTAGCATCTTCAAGTTAATTGCCCGAAGCACTTTTATCACATGGATTAAATACTATCATTTTTTATCCTTATTCTCAGAAAAATACAGCTCCTCAGCCTAATCCATGACTGATGTCACCTGGAATATGAAAGGACACAACAAAACGCTGACTGAAGAAATTACACGGACAAATTGCCCAAGGTGGCTAGACAGATGCATGTGTGTTTGTTTACAGGTGACAGGGAGGAAATTTCTTAGACCTGGCCTTGTCAAAAATCACATTTAGGAGTCACCTGGGAGATCTTGTAAATGTGCGGATTCTGAGGCAGTATGGCTGCGGGGGCGGGGGAGGCGGCTGAGAGTCCTCACTTCTAACTGGTTTCTAGGTGACACTAGTGACCACAAAGCCTCAACCCCCAGTTCTACCTTGTCCATGGGAAGGGCTCACCCTGTTTGGGGGGGCAAGGCTCAGTCAACACGCTAAAACATAATATTGCCATGACAACATTAGTTAATAATGAGGTGAGCTGCCTCTGCATGTAACACACACTCCCCTGACTTGTGACCAGGCCCACGACAATCCAGCTAAAATACCTAAATCCACAGGATTCAGGGGAGAGCAGCGAGGAAGAAAACGGAGATGGTGGGAGGGGAGCCATCTGAATACCGACAGCAGTTTTTCCTCCCAGAATATTTTCAGTCTTGTACTGAATCCAGAAACTGTTCCGACTACATGCAGATCTAAACATCGTTGGAGTACGAGGTAGAACATTGCGATATGGAGGTGATTAGAGACACGGCCAATGTGAGTGCTGGAACAAAGCATTAATTTTACCAGTCTCTCGAGCTGAACATTTGATATCTCTTGGCTTCCTTCCGTCTCTGGTTATATTTTTAGCAATTAATTCATGGTAGTGCAGACAGAACTCTAATAAATGGGGTGATGGCATTCAGAGAGCAGTTCTGAAAGTAATTCTCCTGTGGTACGTGGGGAACAACTCTACCTCCAGTTACAACCAGACATAGGAAAATAATCTGTCCTTGACCATCATATTAGCACTTTGCCTTTCAACCCAGAATATTAATCAGTCCTTAGATTATAAAAGACAGGGAATTCTGGCCCCACCATTGAGAACCTGAAATAGCAAAACACATGCTCTCTTCCCATCCTGTTCCCACTAAACCCTAAGTATGTCCTGACTTGAACGGATGGTGCTTTTCCATGAACTTGATTAACATACATCTCCCAATCTTTTTTCAATCTATATCCATAGAGATCACACAAGCCGAACTGAGAACAACAGATGTTACATGGAGCCGTATGTGCTAGCTAAAATGAGTCCTACGGGCAGCTTGCTCACATCCAGACCCAAAGGTTTTTACAGCTTTGCTTTAAAAAAAGGGGGAAAAAATGAGTGTCTATATTTAGTTAAAGAAATGTCCCTTATATCTTGGGAATCTTTCCTACTTTACTTTGCTGTCACTTATTCTGAATTCTCATCCTATTCTTTATGGTACTATAATCTCACTTCTAAAAGAAAGACTAATGAAAATATTGCGTCGTCGGGAAAGTCATGACGTATTTTTTTCTATGTTTTTCAATCCAAAAATGCGTCATGACTTTCCTGACTACCCAATAAATGGTAGTTTTTAAAAAAAATTTTTTGTTATAATTTTTGTAGTTTTCTTTTGGTATTGTGTGATGTGGTATAATATCTTTACTTAAAATAAAAATAATAAAAAGATGAAAAAAATAATAAAAAGATGAAAATTTGCTTTACTTTTTTTTCCTGTAAACTGTTCCAGAAAATGAAAACATGTGCTTCAAACTTTCTAAGTGACGACTCTTTTGGTCCAGCCGTCGTTTAAAACTGGCCATGAACCCACCCATTTATTCTGGTACCTCTGCACTTATTTCTACCCAAGGCAGAAAAATGCCATCCCTATGAGAACCCACCCCTCCCCATCTTCAAACACCGGAGGAGGATGCTCACTCTCACCTGGTGAGCTGAGCAGCAGTTCTCTCAGCCCAGGAACCTACAGAGAGTCCTCTGAGAACCTTGATAGGGGATCTATATTGATCCCCTTGAGAGGGGAATCTATATTTATTGAAGTCCCAGTGCAGCACATGCCCAATAAAATTACTATAAAATATCCCATCTCAGAGAAAGTAGAGACTCTCAAGAACCCATCTACATGTGGGGCTGGGGATTCCAGACCCTCATTTCAGAACCAAACGTCGAACTATTAACAAACACTCAGCAAAGTTTAAAGAAGAGATAAGTCACCATCAGTATTTGGAATAGACGCTTCAAACAAACTGACCAACCCCTCCTACTGCTGAGACAGCCTATCTCTCTGTGATCAAGGTTATGATTTTAACACATTTTTTTTTTCACAAGGAGAATTTTTGACAAGGTGTTAGAAAACTGTGTTACCTGTAAAATCCCTTGAGGTTTACTCTGTCCTTTATCAGGTCAGCTGCCTGAACGATAATAATGTTCCTTAATGCTCTTCCTGCACAAGAAGAATTCTCTCCATAAATCTAAATGGAAAAGCAAACAATCACTGTAAACTTAGAACAATAATGAGATAGTGTGTGAGCATACCATATGTAAAATATCATGACCAAATCCTTAAGCTTAAGACAGTTATGTAACTACAAACCTACAACTACCTATTTTATTGTACTTTTGCTATTGGTTCATTTATGCTATAAAGCTATACTAGCTATGTTCCATATGCTAAACTGCTTTAACTATAATTAGAATCTCCCTTTACACAACATTTTTAGCATAAATTATCCACTGTTTTCTAAAATACAGTGTTTCTATCAATACAGCAAATTGAAGAATATTTTTATTATATATTAACTCTGCCATATTGATAATGCATTCATGTAAAGGTCTTAGAAGATGAAAAAATAATTTCTTCCTATCTAGTGAACATTTGGCACCATGTCACAATTTGATAGCAGGCTGCTGTTTGCTCTGCTTTTAAGTTTCACTCAAAAGCAGAATTCATAGTTAATTCCAAGAATCCTGGTTTCATCTACTTCGCAATTCCATCTAGCAGATAAAAATTTCATTTAACTTCTTTTTTAAATCCTTCTAATTTGCCCATATGAGTCTCTGATTCTTGGAGGAGGAAGGGGGGTTATTCCTTAGATCCAGTGAGGTCTTCGTCCTACTTTTGTACAACCTCCTTTCTCTATAATTGGCATCTTCCTCCATAGTACAATGTTGTTTCACAAACGATGGAAGCTAAAGGAAAATGAAACATCTTCATAAGTAAAGGCTCATGAAAATTAATATATGTATATTGGAGGTATGTGCTTACATCTGTTTACTTGTTTCTTAGTGAAGTCTCTGCACCTACAAAATTTTGCCCCTACAAAATACGTATCTTTTCTCAAAGGAAACAAATTGATAATATATTGATTACGGCTTGACAGGGAACAATTCAAACCCATCTTTATACTTCTTTCATTTTCCCGTTATCACTTCCTAAACACAACCTGATGAGAAAGTGAGAAGGGCAGAAAATGACTTATTTTTAACATGTAAAACTTAAAAAAAAAAAAAAAAACTTGGACAAGTCAGGTGATAGAAACTATCAGGCTGTCGGAAAAGTCATTTCATATTTTTTTCTATATTTGTCGTTGCAAAAATGCGTCATGACTTTTCCAACGACCCAATATTACGGTAAAAGAGGTACAAGTCAACCGACGCTGGGCTAGTCTGGGTATGGTACCAATGTTCAGTTACTCAGTCATTCAGAAAAACATTGAATGAGCAGCTAGCAGGCCTCATTCTAGATGCTATAGGTACAATAATGGAACAAGGCCAAAAAGGCCTTTGCCCTCACACAGCTCACGGTCTCCTGTTATTTTTAAAAAGCCAACTCTTTGTCGAATGAGTCTTTAACACAACGCCATAAAGGCATCCTCATATTTTCTTACCAATCAGCATACAGGAATATTTTACTATTAAATAACTAAAAATAATCCCCTGTCCAGTTTTCAGTGAGTGTAAAATACCCACAATTTTTAAAATAGTGTTTCTATCAATATAGCAAATTGAAAATGTTTATATTATAAATTCACTCCACTGTATGGATAATACATTTATGTAAAGGACTTGGAAGATGGGAAGATGTTTTCTTCCTATTTAGTGAGCATCTTGAACCATGACACAATTATGGGGACATCTCAAACACCTTTGGCTGTGTTATTCCAGGTAAAGGAGATGCCATGATTAGGAAAGGGGATAGCTATAACTAGAGAATTCTACATCAGGATTTGTGAATCATTGTTTCGGAAATTACAGTTAAGAGAGAAAAGAATCATACCTGGGAAGAAGTATGTTCAAGGTATGGGTTGGAGATTCTTCTCGATAGAGTCTATTTTAAAAGAAAAAGGGAAAAAATTAGATCCACATAGCAATCTTTGTATCATAAGGGCACAATACATGCAACAGTGGCAGGCCCTGTAGGTGTCCATGCCAAAAAATGAGCTCAAATCTCAAGTCATAGGCCAGAGAGGATTAACGTCCTTATTTATACTCTTTCAGTGTATCTGGTCAACATTCATTCCAGAGGGAGAGGATACGCTATTTGAATGGCTCCCAATCCAGGGAGCACAACTTCAAAAAGTGCAATAGAAAGCCTGGGATGTTTTTGTACTTGTCACTTTATTCTTAATGTGATTTTGGTGCCATTTCTCTTTTCATTTCCACTTTCACCATCTCTACGCGCTTGGAACTGCTGCTTCAGCTTCTCAATGGATTTCCCTGCCCTCTGGTCAAGCCCACTCAGGCCATCCTGCAAGCCTCAATGAAACAAATGTCTCTAAATCATCCTCTGGACTCACGCTGGGTCTCTTATTGCTTATACACTTCAGTCCAACCCCTACCTGAGTCTGCCCTTCTGGGCCCACCACAGTCTGCTACCAACAGGTTTCTAGCATTCTCTTTCTGCCTCCCTACCTGGCTTCTTTGATTTATCAAGCTGTGCTTATCAGAAGAACGGTCCACTCGTACCCTGCCTCTGCCCACACCATGCCCCACATTAGAAAGCCCTCCATCTTCCCTGATACGTCCCTGAACCCCACCAGACCCTGAAGTCCAGGTCTGTGCAGTCATCTCCTGGCTGAAGCTTCTCCGACCCATCCCAGTTCACTAGAGTTTGTCCATCTTTGGAGCTCTTCCTTTTTTCGACTATTCATGTAGTAGCTCCTGGGTGCTCTGCATTGCTGCCTGTCTTACTGCGAGCGCATCTGCCCCAACTAATCCATAAGCTTCTGCAGGGAATGCTGGCAGCATATGCGGCTTTGCCTTCATAGCATCTAGCATACAACCTTGCCCCAAAATGTTTATTTTTCTATTTACTTATTTGTAGATATTTATATCTCTATATCAACTCAGTAAGATAGGAGCTAATTTCTCCTACCTAACAGCCCAGTAAGCAGCACCATCACCCACGTATGCTTACGCACCACAGAAAATTATCATTTCCCATTGTAGTATAGAAAAAAAGAACAGAGGAACTAACATTTACTGAGCTTCCAACCCATGTTTTAAAAGCTCTTTACATCTCTAGTCCAAGGCTTGCTGTCGTTTTAGATCCTATAGTTTTTAGTCTGCCGCCATCTCTTAGAATTTGCTAAATTTATGAAACATACCCTGCCAATCATCGCTGTTCAGCATCTGAGCCTTCCATTAAAATGTAATCTGAGACAGAATTCCGATTCTGCTTCTTCCCCGCTCCACATGCCTCCCACACTACTTATCTCCTAATTAAACCAAAATAAATGTATAGACTTTTTATCCAAAAACGCCAGTTGATACACTCTGCTAAAGATTTGCAATGACTTCAAAGGAAATGGAATTTATAAGGTAGACAGGCCACTTAAAATTCCCATGTATTAAAATAAAACATTCATCTACCCCTTCTAGTCTAGTCTATACATACTCCCAATTGGTTCTTCCTAGGCCTTCTGTCATCGGAACCTAGGTAATATATTCACTAATTGAAGTACTAAACAATTTAAAATTTGTGTATGCACCAGATTTATAATTTGAAGATAAATCGTCATGAAAAGAGATTCCCCCCACACCCCCCAAACAGACAGACTTTTAAAAATCAATATGGCAGGCTAGAACTGACAATCTTTATGACTCATCTAATGGACCCAATCAGCTCAGAAAAGCAAACACTTCACATGATCTAGTTTAAAAGAAAGCATTTCGGTAGAAACAAGTTCTAAAGAACTAGGCAGGGGCACTTTCACAAAAGAAAGCAAACCACTTCCTTTCTCTCTGCTGCCAACCTGAATCTGGCTGTCTCAACAGTCCTCTTACACTCACACAATTCCACTTCACAGAAACTTCCCCTGTGGATGGCTTGTTTCAAAAGATTGGTAAGGTGAGTAAATAAAGAATGGGATTCTTCTATGCTGACTAGATAACAGTGTTAGATAAGCTATTAGCCCACAGGGAATCGACAAGAGCAACATAACAAGAACTGCCTTTTACAGGACACAATGCCTACATCTGTTGTAAGAAGCTTCTATGCAGCCCTACCTTAACTGGACCCAGGGGAGCTTTGTTTCACTAACACTCTAGGACAGCAGCTCTCAAACTCAGCTGAGCTTGGGGAAGGCACAGAGCCCTCTGTAGAAGTGCATAAGGGACTTGTTTGCTAAACTTAAAATAACAACCACAAAGCTGTAGTTTTTTGGAGACCACTCTATGTTAGCTGTTGCAAAAATAGCAAGTGTCAAAGACTTAAAGAAAAAAGAACATGAAGGAATAGTCCATCCCTTACCTCAATTTTAATAGATGTTGGGAAAGGACTGTTGCATAATTTTATTAAGGGAATATACACCATGGACCAATTTATGGGAATCTGAGAATGACTGCTCTAAGTCACCTCACAAATTACTCTCCCCAAATTTACCTGAAGGGCTATCACAAGAGCACCCTTGAAAATGCACCCTTCTCCATTTCAATATCCTTTCCCTAATATACAGTTATCCAGCTGTTTTCATTCCATCTTTAAATCCTTTGGTTTTATTTCTCCTCTCAGCATTCCAGAGCTTCATCTAATCATTCCTGTGGCAACTACCTTCCATTCATTTCACATTTATGAAGCATCTACCGAGCTCCTGGCCAAGCACTGTGAGAGCTTCCAGAAACATACATATGAACACACCATTTCTAATTTAGAAATCTATTTACCAGAAGACATAGGATCTAAAGAACATTTTAAACCCATGAATTCTCTTTCTTGATTTCCTATCAATTCATTCTATAATTGGTTGGCTGGTCCAGTTGATGCAGGATGTCCTCTTTTAAATGGCTCTTGCCATCATACCTCATAAATGCAATGCCCAGACGAGATGATGATTCCTTTTTCCCCCTTTATTTCCAATTTCCTAGAATTACTTAAACTAGATACAGTGATTCTCTCATGATGTATATCTCATGATATATATATATATATATATATATATATATATGCCATAGTAAAAAAACTGGTAACAACACAAATATAATTAGATTTTAATTCCAATTTATTTTTCCTTTCCATTTTAATAAACCATGGAAAATGATTCCCTAAGTGATTCCAGGCAAACCTCATATTTTAAACATGTATTTAGGAAATTGCAACCTTTTAATATTCACAAATGAACTTCCAGAAAAAAGAATGGTATAACTCAAAAGGACAATTGGTTAGCAATCATATACTATCTTCATTTTTTTTTAAGTTAGGTGTCCACTAAAGTTAAACTACAATAGTGTATAAGGCTGGGTCTGAACCAAGCATGGAACTCATTCCAGAGTCACTGAAAGTATCTTGCTAAACTACATGATAGACTTAAGACATAATTTTCATCAGCTCTTAAAGGACATGCCTTAATACTCTCCTTGGATTGAGTTAAAGTATGGGGGCTGTCAAGGGAGAGAGAAATGAAAGGAGGAAGTCTGAATCACTTCAATCACCACAGAAGTATGACCTGTTCTATTACAAACAGGAATCAGCAAGAACCACCAAATTTATTGACAACTCGAGAATTCAGTTCATGATACAACTTTCTGTCACCTTCAGCCATTGTCCTTTTCCCATTCTGGGTAATCAAGTAGAATATGAAGATGTTAAAGTGAAATAAGTATACTTAGATTTCTTACAGTTCTGGAAGCCAAGAAGCCTCACAAGCCAACCGGAGGGCAGATGGGTTAAGAGATTATCTACTAAAATAATAAAAGCTGTGACCTAGTAGGCTGTCCAGTAGAGTTCTAAGACTGCACGTCCTTTATAAGTCCCAGGGTACACTTACATCTCAATCAAAGCTTCATCAAGATTAAAAGTACAGAATCCCAGCCAGTGTGTTGGCTTGAGAATTACACGGTCATCACAAGTTAGGCATAATGCGAACCAGAGATGTGAGCCAATGACTGAAACGGAAGGCCAGGGCAGCTCACTGTGACTTCCTTTCTGCAAGCATTGGTCACTTGAGGCCCACACCACTTCCTCAGGGCCCCAACAGTCAGTCACAGCTACAAAGGCAACTTGTAATACGAACTTCTCAACATAGCCTGGCCACACTAAAGTCCATAATGCGCTTGAAATTACATTTGCCTATGGCTCTATGATATGTTAAGGAAAGGGAAGATGGCAGAAATGCTTCCTGAGCACTTATTTTTGTCTTCAGCACTTTTCCATATTAGTAATGTTTTTACAGAAGAGAGGCCTGTGGGTCAGAGAAATTAAGAAATTCACTTAAGGTCCTAGAGTTGGAAAGTTACAGAGCCAGGACTGAAACAACAGTGGCTGATTCCACAGCCACCACTCCACTGTAACATGCTGCTAAATAATAAATGAGTTTCTAGTGTGTGCTAGAGATTATACTAAGTATTTTACATACAACCTATCATTTAATCCTTGAAAACCTGAGGTAGGTGCTACCATTAATCCCTTTTTGCAGATGATAAAACCAGACTTAAAGAGGTTAAGAAAATCACCTGAGTTTACAACCTAAGCCTGTCTTTAGTTACCACCCTCCATACATGTATCTTATAACAAAGAATGTGATGATTTAAGAGGCACGTGACAAACGAGTGCCATTAACTGTAGGAAGTCACAAATATTGGGTTGTTGGAAAAGTCATGATGCATTTTTGCAACGAAAAACATAGAAAAAATACATCATGGCTTTTCCGACAACCCAACAGTATCTGCTAGATCCAGCAGTTCTTAACCCTGGATGTAAATAAGAGCCATTTGGAAAACTAATGAAAAAAAACACAAAAAAACAGGTGTTCAGGTCTCACCCCAGACCCACAGAATTAGACAGCCTAGGAGTGGAGCCTGGGTGGTTTTTGCCAAGCTCCCCAGGGAGTT